CAGACTGACAGCAGGAAAATTATCTGGGGGAACTCATTAAAAATAGAGTCTTGGCTTCTACTGTGACCTGTTGAACAAGAATCTCTCCGAGTAGAGCCCAGGAATCTGAATTTTTAACAAACTTCCCAGGTGACCCCAACATACCATCAGATTTAGGAAGCACTACCCTCTGTGGCCAAATAGCACTAACATTCACCTGGTTGTCCAAGCCAAAAATTGAATGCCATCATCTAGCAGCAGGCTTAAAACAGGATTGGAGCAAACTCACTCATTGAAGAGGCAAAAATCTGCTATCGGCGTGTCTTGGCCTATGTTCTCTCTTCTTTGTCTTCATCGACAGCAATTTATGACTTAAACACTCTGCTTCTCCTTTCCTGGTAGTCTATGTTTTCCTTGGAAGTGTACTTTTAGTGGTAACATTGGAATTCCTTACCTTCAAAATTGGCTTAATGCATTGCTATTGGGCAGTAAGGATAACATTTTTTGTTCTGGGTAACATTTTGTGGTGTTAAGAATTTAGGGAAATCGATCTAAATGGGATCTTTTAGGGGTTGATGGACTAGAATATAATAAGGTCCCACAAAATCTCTGACAATAAATGTCACTCCTGACTAGCACCTAAAGCAACCATCTCTGAATTAAGGGTGAAGACTTCCTTAAGATTTATTTAAATGTTCTACTTAAGGTTTCTTTTGAGCCTCCTTGTGCCTGTCCAACCTAGCACTCTAGGACATGCTATAATTCCTTTTACATGGCATTGCCTTCCCCAACTGGACTGTAGGCATCCTGAAGACAGCTGCACCACTCGGATTTCTGTGCATAACTGGGAGAAACCTTGGAAAATCTAGTCCAAACTCCAATATCCGAGTGAGACTGGGGACTATCTCCCATGCATGTTGTGTAGTGGATTCCTGCAGGAAGCCTCAACTCAATGGCTTCGAGTATATACATCAGAATAGATGAGAAAGAGAAGGAGCACCAGAGATGAGAAAGCTTCCCTGAGTGCGTAAACTGTGAACGGTGTAGACTTTCAAGGCAGAGGTGCTAGCTGAGCAGCTGGTTGAACCACTAGCTTCTTTCTCTACTCTAGACCTCATTCTGGTCACACCACCCTCCCTGCCAAGTTATGGCCGCTATGCTGACTTGGGCAAACATTAAGCTAATTATGTGGATTTCAAGGGAACCCAGACCCAAAGTAACTATGCAGACACAAACCGCATAGAGAAATATATATACCTTTAAGCATATTATTACAAAAATCTAGTGTCATAGAAGATACTGGTTTGTACTTCCTCAAAGGCTATTCTACCAGGTTTGGTTTGGTTTTGTTTTTAAGCAGGCATTTTCCCATAGACATTTTTAAAAAGAGGTAATGAGATTCTTTTAGGCACGGATATACCTGGGATCAAATAGGCTTTTGCATTTGGCTATTTTCCTATAGGAGCTGCCATTCCTTGGGGAACCTGTGTTCAAGATCCAAACAGCCAACTTGCAAATGAACTTTAGATTCAAGTCTTTTTGTAGAATTCATTATCTTTTAGATCATCAGAAAAGGAGTTGTTCTCATCACTGCAAAAAGACTTCTTATAAGTGTCCAACAGAGGGAAGATAAAATAGAGCAAATGAACGATGCTTGAAGATGAGGCACAAAATTGACTTCTTCTAATATTAACTTAAGATAAAAGAATAGGTTACTGAGAGAAAATAAAATCCTCTTTTCTGATAATCCTTAAGAAGAGACAAAATTTGCACTACTTAGAAGGGTATAAATATGACCTGGGTAAAGAGATATCCCTTCCCCTCAGAGCCCTACCAAGTAGCCATATCAGCTTTCTGCCTCCTTACAACAAATATATCCGCAGGTGCTCCTCACATGTATCTGAGCTCCTGAGGCTATGGCACACACATACATCTAAAGCCAAGTCCCAACTCTTGGCCAGTATTTGCACTTCCATCCAGATACTTTTGTGATACTTCATTATGAAGAGATGCTCACATTTTGCAGTCCTTGAAAGCTAGCAGTGTCATGCAGGGAGAGGAGGGGGTATCTGTCTGCCTATCAGCTCTATTCCTGCAGTATTAAGGAGGTTTATAAAGCGTTTTCAAAATCAAGATCCATTCAATTTGCTCAAAAGATTTAAGAAGGAAGATGTATAGGAGCATACCTTTATTATGCTATCTTTATTAACAACCTTGTTATAATTACTAGAAGTCTGAAATTGGAAAGTATCATCTAGCCATCAGGACATATATTTTGAATTAGTGGAGCTTGTGTAGTTCCTTTAAGTCATCTCAGGTCAGAATGGTGTGGCTAAGATATAATTATCTTAATAGACAAAGATATTTACTAACAGTAGCATTTATAATAAAAATTGGGAACCAATGCTCCCCACAATAGAAATATAGCATAGAGGGAAAACAGGTTCCAGAATCAGTTATATAGGTATTTGTAGGTATAGGAGATATAAATATGCATCCTATTGGTTCTGTTTCTCTGGAGAACCCAGACTAATACAAACCCTGGCATCAGTATTTTATAAAGCTCTCTTAGTGGTTGAAATGTTTGGCTAAGGTTAAGAACTTCTGATCTGGAAGTTCTTAATCTTTTAAGAGGTCCATTGGTGGCTTCAAAGGGTCTGTGAACTTTTAGAACTCAGAAACAAAATTTTGTGTGTATGTGACCATAGCTGATCCAAACTCCCAGCTGGCCCTCCAATCCCTCCTTCCATGACATCTTTGCAAAATGAAAACCACCTTCCACCCTGAGGAAGCCCATCTCATCTCAGAATAGTTTTAAGGGTCAAAACCCTTGAGGAAACTGAGGCACAAGAAGACTGATTTTGAATAAAAGAATCACAAAACATCAGTCAGAAAGAGGTCTAGTAGTCTTCATGTGCAAAGTCTTCATTTTATAGAGGAAAAAAAATAGAGGCACAGAGAACTTAGGTGTCTTGCCCAAACTAACAAAGTTAATAGTAGGCCGGAGGATGAAAGCCCAGGCCCCTTGGTTTCCTTCCCTAAAGGCATGGAGCAGAGTTCCTTCAAGGAGGTGACCTGTGGTGGCACGCTACAGAATAAGCAGGGCTGAACATGGCTCAGGAAAACCCCCAACCCGCCATCCTGTGCCATCACTCTAGAAGGCAGGAACGGAGAGTAGCCCACCTCCTCCTTTCATGCTGAGTTCCTCCTACCCTTGCCAGTACCCACATGGATGGAAGATACCAAGAAAACCCAGCTCGATGGTGGTAATGATGTGGCACAAGGTACCAACTGGGAGACACTGGCCTATATTTTCTCCCAGAGAGACAGGTGCAGGCACAGAAGGGACGGGGCAGTGAATATGCTTTGCCTGGGATCCCCTGCGAGGAGGTGTGTGATGATAAAATAGTGATATGAATGTCTAAGATCTCCATAGTGGATTCGTAAATACACATTAAAATTGAAATGATATTTAAAAAACATTGACTTGTTTAGGGTGGAATCAGGCTCATTAATAATTTGTACTCATTATGTTCAATATTACAGTATTTTCTATTTACTACTGAGAAGTTTAATATTTTACTGGGTTGTTTAATATTTCTAAGCCTGGTTGTCTCACTTTATAACATAAAGTGGCTAGCTGAGGGCCTGGTACACAGGATGTGTCCAATAATTGGTGGCTGTTATTATTATTAATACAACTATCAAAATGCAAATGTTAAAATGACCAATTATTCTCATACATGCCTTTTCTTACCCCATGACACATTTTTGTTGACAGAGGTGATGTCACAGTATGTACTGAACCCACAATCATTACCCACAGAGCTTGGCACAAATCTGTGTCCATCGTAGGTATTAGTAAGAACTTAGGTTGAACTAAATCAAATGAACCACTCCTACCAGATTGTTCTGTTCTTTCAAGGGTATTTCAGATCCAGGTTCTGCCTCGAGGCTGACAGCATCAATGCATTCAGCAAGTGCATTCTCAGTCACTTCTTGATTGATGCAGGGCTCCATGGCACTGGTGTCTGTGGGCTGCTCAGGGCACCCATTGTCAGCAGTCTCTGTATCTTGAATGGTTGCATTTTCATGCACATCTTCTCTGGGGTCAGCCAGTGTTGGCTCATTTAAAATCGTAGCTGAATCACAGTGCACCTCTGCATCTTTGGGTAAAGAATCATTATTGGGCATCTCAGTAATTTCTGCTTTGTCTCCAGTAGCTATGGTGTCACTGGCATCATCGGACATTTTATTATCTGTCAACATGATCACAAACAAACACTTTATGCTTTAATATGAATTGTTAAACTTTAATTTAAAGCCCTGAATTAAAGTAAGTCTGGTAGGGGTAAACTTTCTTCTACCAATAAGAAACTTTATGTAACTTTGGGGTGGGCTGATCATGGCCCCAAAAGATATCCATGTCCTAATATCTAGAACCATGAATGTTATCTTATGTGGCAAAAGGGACTTTGAGGATATGATTAAATTAAAGGTCGAGATGAGGAAATTATTTTGGATTATCCAGGTGGGACCTAAATTAAATCACAAGCATCCTTATCAGAGAGAGGGAGAGAGAGATTTGATCACAAAGAGGAAACGTTTCTGTGAATACAGAAGCAGAGATTGGAGTGATGTACTTTGAAGATGAAGGAGGAAGCTACAGCCAAGGAATACATACAGGTGGCCACAGAAGCTGAAAAAGTCAAGGACACCATTCTCCTCTCACAGACTCCAGAAAGAACTGGCCCTGCCAACACTTAGACTTTAGCCCAGTGAAACGGATTTTGGACTTCTGACTTCCAGAACGCTAAGAAAATAAATTTGTGCTGTTATAAGCCACTTAGGTTATTGTAATTTGTTACAGCAGCAACAGAAAACTAATACAAACATACAGTGCTATCCTTAAACTTCCACAGATCTCTCAGTTGGTATATGGGAAGATGCATATGGTAACTAGGAGTATTATCTATATCTGTGAAATTATTTAAGTATGACTTTATTAATTATATTTGTAGAAATAATGAGAACAAACATAGGAAATACCAGAGAGCTTACCAAAAAATACTTGACATTTAGCTTTGTCATCATAGATTCACACTGAAAAAGAGACATACACACACATAAGTGGGCTTTGTTGGGTACCAGCTGTTGAAGGCCTGGGCTCTGTTTGGACAATAGTATAGATAGGATACACAGAGTGAAATAGAAAGGAAAGAAGTGAAGTATTAAGCCAGAGGAGGAATGTAGCCGTTACCAAATAACCCATGAAGCAGAAAACTCTGTATCATGTAGACATCATGTAGAAGAGTAGTGTTCAATAGAACTTTCTACCATGATGAAAATGTTCTATATCTGCTTTGTGGTAGCTAATAGCCACGTGTGGCTATGGAGCATGTGAAATATGGCTAGTGTAACTAAGGAACTAAATCTCAAATTTCCTTTAGTTTTAAATAATTTACAATTTTAATTTTACACAGGCATGTGTGGTTAAGTGGCTACCTGACTGGATAGTGCAGATCTAGAAGGCTACTTTAAAATATTTTTCTTAGACTAATATGAAGGCACAGTGTTCTCACAAGAAGCCAAGTCTCAGGTAAATTGATGAGTATTTTTGCTGACCTCAGTGTTTACCAATTGGTCAAATCTCAGGTTGCTGCTAAAACCATAGTATGTGAGAAGCCATTTTATATACTGACCACCTGGTGGTATAGGTTTAGAACTCGAAAGCACAGGCCAACCCTCTTATTCCCTCAAATAGCCATTCCACAACATTGCCTGGCTATTTTCTCTTCTCTTGCTACATTCTCCCCCTGAGTGAATTCAGTTTTACACATCGCTTTCAGGCTGTGAGCCTCAAATGTCGACCTCCAGTCCATAGAGACAGAAAGTAAATTAATGGTTTCCAGGGACTGAAGGGAGGATGAATGAAGAGTGACTGCTAAGGGTAGAGATTTCTTTTCCAGGTGATGAAAATGTTCTAAAATTAGTGCTGATGGCTGTACGATTCCATGACTATACTAAAAGCCACTAAACTATATACTTTAAAAAAGTGAATTTTGTAGTATGTAAATTTTGTGGTGTATGAATTACATCTTAATATACTAAGAAGATATATAACATACAGTGTTAAATCTTAATAATATTATAAAAAATATTCTACTTCTGGATAAGTAGTTTTAATGGCCAGCTGGATAGCTCTTTCTGTCCACAAAGAAACCTGTAGTCTTACCATTAATACTAGATCTTCCTCTTGACTTTTGTGTTTTATTTCATGGCACCTAAATTTCCCCAATAACCTAGGCTTAAAATCTCAGAGCTGTCATTGACTAAACTCTCACTCTCCCAAGAATATATAATACAGATAGCTATCATTTACTGCATGCCTATTAAATTCAAGTTCTTTAAATGTATTATCTCCTGTGAGTTAGGTATTATGAGCTTTGTTTTATAGATAAGGCAACTGAGGCTCAGAGATCACACTTTTGTTAGGTGCCAGATTTGAGATTCGAACCCACGTCTGACTTTGAGATTGAACCATATCTGCAATGCTACCTGACCCCTCCGTTACATTCGACCAGTGCCCAAATCCTCGAGGTTCTTTATTTATAATCTATATCCTTTCTTTACTTCTATTCTCTCTGCCACCACTTTAGATCAGGTCCTCATTATGATTTGCGTTGATGATTTCAATATTGGGTTCGCCCCTCCACTGCTGCTATGCCTTTCACTTCCTCAGTCTTTCTTTACATCACTCTCCTGCTCAGCATCCTCAGGGGCTTCCCACTTCCTACTGAGATGAGGCCACAGGGTTTAGCTGGCATCCAAGGACCTCTGTGCTCCAATTCCACTAGACTTGTCTTCCACTATTCTCTTCCAAATTCTTAAATGAGACAACATAAGTATGTGTAGCAAGCCTGACATCCAAAAAAGACCCTCAGGTGGCTCTTGGTTCAATATGTTGTTTTCTATACATTTAAGTCCCTGTTAAAACAACTACCTCCTCCATTCTTTGTCCCTCCCCATTGGTTGTAACTTTACTTCCTCTGAATGCCCAGGGTACTTTGCATTTACCTCACTTTGGACAGTTACAATCATCTTTGATTAGAGTTGCTTGAGTGTTTTCTTATTATATTGTAAATTCTATGAAGACAAGGATCTGCCTTGTTTTGTTTTCATGTGTTATGTAGTACTTAACAGTTTTTTGAACAAATATGTGTGTTGATTTACATTAATATTTGTGTGGAGATTTAAAATGAAAATGTAATTTGAAATGAAAGCAAGCAGAAGATGCCTTTATCCCATTCACTATTCAGGAGCCATCTTACAGAAAATGGTTCCAAATAACCCATATTATTGTCCTTTTGATCCTGTACCTCCCAGTTAACTGAGTTAGAATATCTCCTTTTAAACAAAAATACTCAAATTTTGAGATAACGCTCCTATAAATAAGCCTACAGCTGGGAAAAGCAAAAAATGCCTACTTTCTTTTAGATGTGTTAAGTTTTGGATAGTCAAGTTTGGAGATAGTCTGTCAACATCTACTTAAAATAGTAAAGAATGATACGAAGCCACTGCATGGAAAAGGGTAGTTACTGTGGTTCATGGGAGGGGGTGAAATTGAGGGAAGGTATTTAAAAAGCTATTGTCATTTGGAAGCTTATAAAATCTGTGAAAACCTTGAGTCAGGACTGACTTAAGATGGAGGTTGACAAACTACAGCTTGCTGGATAAATCTTGCCCTCCATCTGTTTTGGTAAATAAAATTTTTTGGAATACAGACATGCTCATTTGTTTATGTACTGTCAATGACTTCTCTAACACTACAACAGAGTTAAGTAGCTGAGACAGAGACCATATGGTCTGCAAAGACACAAAGCCTAAAATATTTACTATCTGGCCTTTCAGAGAAAATGTTTGACCCATGGCCTAGGACACTGCTTGATTGCCATAGCCTAAAGAGCTCTTAGTCCTACTTCATCCTATTGTCAACGGGATCTTAGAGGCAGGGCCATAAGGAGGATGGGTGTATGAATAAATGATGCTTTGACAGCACATTTATTCCTATTTTTTGTTCATCAATAGCTGGTCATAGACATTGATATTTTAATTTTTTTGTAAGTTAATTTATAAATCCTCATTATTAATCTGGATTATTGAGAAGCTCCAAACTATTTCACTTTTCTATAAGCAGGAACATGGAAAAAAATCAAGATATGATAAATATTTATGGGCAAATAAAAAGCATTACGGACACTTTGTCGTGTGTGCTTTCCCCTAAATGTGCTATGATACTGTTCACAATGTTAAAATACTTCAGTACATACCATGTGACATATGTGAGGGTTATTTACATCCTGGGGGTGGTTGGTTAACATCTGAAGTGCCCTATTCAGAAATATATTCTCCAGAGGTTTTGGTTAGCATTTCAAAATTTGTAATTGAGAGTTCACCTCTTGAGAGGGTTAAAATGTTATGCTCTTCAATCAGTACTCCAGGGTGTGTTAATTAGCATAAGGGATATTAGAAATCATTTTTCACTGATGAAATGGCAGTGGGGCTTAAGATATATGGATTGGCAAGAAATAGTGGACAGGTGCTTTCTGCCTTTCCCTTACCAGGGCGTAAGATTATATTGAGTCCAGCAGCTTATTGCCCTGTGGAGTAGAATTTTTCTAGTTCTGATTGCGGGGGAACAGCAGTACCTGAAGCTAATCAGGTTAGCTGAGTCCTACCTGTAGAGCAGTCCTCCCAGAGGCCTACAAGGACAGAGAGCTAGGACTTCATCGAGCTTACAAGAACAAGCTGTATACCTGAACTCAGTTGCTAATATATGTGCAAGCGTGCAACAGAACTTCAGAGAACTTCATGGGAGGAAACCTACAGCCCTTACCCATCTCTGATGGCCAAACTGCTTCAGATCAGTTCATCGCAGCTGCACAAAAATTGCTGCAACAAAACCTCTCTTCTCTGCAGCTGCTCTGCATTCAACCAGCAACATGAAGCCATTCCTTTAGAAATATCCAAAGAGTGAGCTATACGGTGTTGAACTGATACTATTAAAAAAAAAATTATGGACAATTTATAAATTTCAGAAAGACAATATTTCTACACGTTTAAAGAGTAAAAATGGTCACTATATTATTTGGCCCTACTTCAACTTCTAAGTGTAACAGAGCTCTAATCTATTTACTTCTGTTATAGGTCTACATTTTTCCCTAAATCGAAACCAAAAAAGAGAGATCTTTTTTGTTTTGATAGACCTTTATCTAATGTGGATGTCATTATGGTAGGAGAGATGTAATCATTTTTAAGACTGTGCCCGTTTGTCTGAAATCATCAGAAACTGCATGTTCTAAATACAGAGCTATTTCTCAGCAGTGACTGTTGGGGTCCACAAGGACTAAGGCCGTGACACGTGCTGTTTCCTGGGACAGCCCCCATCTCTGCCTGGGTGCCCCATAGGCAGTCAGACTTCAAAATCTCTCCTGATTTAGGATTTGGAACATTGATCACTGAAGCTATGTCTGTGGCTTTGATGCTAGGGAGACTCAACCCACAGAAACAAGGAGGCTTCTTCAGTAAACTCCAAAGAGAGGAAGGGTAGCATATAAAGAAGCTTTTGTGGGCTGGGAATAAGTTAGGTTTTCATGAGTAAATTCATTCATTACCTAAAATGCTCCCAGAACTACTCTAGGTATTGGAGTGGCAACATCATAGCTCCAAAAATAACTTTAAAACAGAAGACATGGTTACTATCCTTCAGAAAATGAGTAATCTGTTTTCATTTCATTCCTGGTCAGTGAAGGGCCAGGAAATAATTTTAGCTGACATGAACTAGTTAAATGATGATGCAAAACAGCGTATCAAATTAAAAAAAAAAAAGAAGATATGCTTGAACTGGACTGACCTCATACAAGAGAAAACCCGGAAAATGGCTTTGATATGGTTATTAAGTCATGATGGAATAAGAGTATGTCCAAATGACTAGCATCAGAAATGAGTTCTAGATATTCAGGATGGATGTCTGTGTGGCTGGGCCAAGAGGCCACATAGAGGAATAGTGAGGGTGAGAGGGATGGTATTCTGAGGTGGAAAGAGCTGGCTCTGGTCCCACCACCCCTTTGTGAGCAAACAACTCACTCATTCCTGTTGGACTTCCTCATTTCCTCCTCTGTAAACTAAGTATGGACGAAATGATATGGATACTTTATTCTCAAACACCAGGCTGCAGGACTGGAACCAGCCCATGATGACAGAGAAAAATGAGGACAAGATAGCGAGTTTTTCATCAATCTAAATTTATTAAATGTAAAAGACTGCCTTCATCTTGCAAGTTAGTCTTCACACTTTTCTTGGTCTTAAAATGTCTTTTATTTCATGAAATAGTGCCTTAGTGAATGGATTTTTTTTTTTTTAATGGCTTCATTTGGCAAAATAAGAATTTGGTATCACAATGCCTGTGTGAGATCACTTCCCCAGTTTAAAAAAGTGCTGGTCAGTAAAGAACCAGGAGCAAAAAACTTTGGATGAGAGGTTCTTAATTAGGTTGCAAGAGTTCCTATGGAAGTTGACAAGGGCACATGCCCAGGTCTCGGGCTCCTTTTCCTCCAGTCTAGCCTCCACATGTCTCCCAGGTATTTTTCTGAAACATAGATGGGAACTATTTGCATTCCTGTTTAAATACGATTAGGTTTTAAACACCTTTGCATGGCATCTGCAGCCCCTCATAATCCAGCTCCAATCTCCCTTTCTGCCTTCTGCAACTCTCAACACACCCTACACTCTTGCTTCGCCAGATTTTCCATCAGAGGAGCCCACACCGCTCGTAAACCTTCCCACCTCCTTGCCTTTGCTTATGTTGGTTCCTCTGCCCTAGCTGCCCTGCCTCCAACTGCCTGGCAAACTCCTATTTGTTTCTCAACATCCAGAGTCATTTTTGACTCTGAAATTTTCCTTAATTTTCCCCACTCCTTCTGAAGAATTAATTGCTCCCTCTTCTCTGTTTTTGCAATACTTCATTGCATTTTTAAGGAGTATTTGTTTCTATCACATTGTCTCCTCCAGCACTGTGACCAACAAGCACCTACCTAGCTTGGTTTATTTTCCTCAAATATTTGCTGAACTAAACTGAATTATATTGTTTTGTATTGATTAAAAAGAAACAATGTTTGATATAAGCTCATCTTATAAATAAATGACAACTTATGTGGACTGAATCCCTGGGATTCAGGAAGGTTCCCTCCCACCCTCAAATTCCTTCTGCACTGGCTCACTTGTGCCTCAAATTCCACCCTGAAAGATTCATTCTTTGCTTAAAGCTTACACTGTGAGGAGTTGATCAGCTTCTTGCCCGAGCTGAGATTTCGGTGGAGGAAAGGAAGAAGAGAGCACAGAATGGATATAAGTGAGGCAGGAAAGGGGCCACCAGGAAGAAAAGAGGGAAGAAAAGAGGGCAGAAAGAGGCCTCTGAGGAGAAAGGCTTTCTCATCCTATTTCCCCCGGTTGGCTGAGGTTTTCCGGGCGTTCAAGAGACATTGATTTTAAAAGCTACCTGCTTGTATCCTACGAGATGTTTAGGAGGGTGATTGATGGGATCAGGAGGGCATAGTTACCGCCCTCACAGCCCATACAGAGATGTCTTCCTACTCTAGGAAATGGCAATGAAGTTCAGGTGCCTGATCTGAGAAGCCTGGAAATACTCACCAGATTCCAGGAGAGAACACGAGAAGATTGGGTGGTAGGGGTTAGGACTCAGCTCGGGGGACTGTGAATCAAGGTGGTGCCAGCTTGGGGTGTTGGCTGGGTTGGAAGAGCAGGCAGGGCGTGTGGGTCTGCAGGGCGAGGGATGATGAGCTTGGGTGGGAGGTCAAAGACTGCGCTCGGTTTTCCGAGGTCAAGGGCCGGCGAGCCACACGACAGAGGCCTCTGCCTTAAAGGGTCATGCTCCCTCTTTGCCCCTTGCTGCCGAGATCTTACATCCTGCCTCTGACTTGAACCTGGGACATTGGGGAAACTTTTCCAGACTTGCGTGGTGCCGGGACTGGATACTTTGGGAGCTCAAGGCAGGCTCCGCGGAGGTCCCCTCGGCCGAGGGGTGCAGACCCGGAGTGCGGGCATGTGGGTGTGTGCATGAGCGTGGACCCGGAGCGACACACACTCACACACACACACTCACACGCCCGCACCCACTCAGGGCCCTCGGCCGCGCCGCCCACGTCTCCCCGACCTCCACCCCCACGCCGAGTCCTCCCGGGTCCCGCGCCCGCGGCCAAGTCCATTGCCAAAGCCTTCTAGCTAACGCAGCGGGCAGGATTCGGGGGCCAGAAAGAGGAGCGATGGCGGGGTCGCCTCACCGCCCCGCTGTCCCCGCCCGCCCGTGGAAGGGAACGGGGAGAGGGTGCCCGGGGTTCTTACCGCTCAAGCAGCCGAGTGCAGACGGGAGCGCCCGG